TTGGTGGATTAGTTTGGGCCATGTTATACTAATGAATGTGCCTTGAGTGCATCATTTAGTAGAACACCTATCTGCAAATCCTAAGAGTGATATAGAGAAAAACATTCAAAGTTTTCTTTGTTCACCATTAAAGTAATTCTCTTCCTCTCAAAATAATTTTTTTATGTGAGAGCTTTGTGAGTTTAGTGTATAAGAGTAGTTATAGATAAGAGAAGTTATAGCTCTTGAAGTGCTCATCAACACAAAAACCCCTTTGACCATTTCTATTATTTCTCACTCAAATCTCATATAATTTCTATTTTATTTGATTGCTCTTATTTTTTTCACCTTAACATCAAATTTTATTTTAAAGGATTGTATGAATTATAGTTGTAGCTGATAGCTATTAAAGTCACCTCCAAGTCTTAAGTGAGATTTGGTTTGATTTCAAAGATAGTTTTCATTATCTAGCAGGTTATGCTAGGAGTGGTGGGTTCTGGACCTTGAAGTAGGAACCTTATCATTATTGTTGGTCTTTCTTTTAACGGTCTTATTTTGACTTTTTATGATTTTGCGTTGATATCTTATTTGGATATTCATATGTTATTTATTGATGCTTCAAAATGTCTTTATCCTTATTCCTTGCCTCATGAAAATAAAACATCTCAAAACTTGATTGTGGTGTTTCAAACCTTAATTTGAATATAAGAAAAAGATGTTTCTATAGGGGGCTATGATGTACAGGCCTGAACAGAGGAAGAAATCCTACTGATGGTTTTTCATCCGAATCCACAATTCTCAATAATCGAATTAAAGGCCCAGTCAATTTGGAACTTACCAAACAGTCATTTCAAAATTTATTATCTAAAATGATAGATGATGCTTCTTTCCCTTTGACTGTTTTGGAAATCTTTGATTCAAAGAAAGCTTTGCTTGTTATAAATGCCTGTAAATGTTGCTTGTGTTCAGATATGCTTTTCAAAGTGATGAAAGTTGTAGCAAATCTAGTTGCTCCAGGCCTAATAATCTCTTTCCAACCTTCTTTTTTTCTTAGCCAAGCTAGAATAAAGACATGATTGTAGATGAAAATTGTAACTTTTGAAGCTCTTTGGGCAAGATCCTGAATGTGAGGCATGTTCCAAAATCTTTAAGAATAAATCTAGTAGCTCCAGGCCTAATAATCTCTTTCCAACATTCTTTTTTTCTTAGCCAAGCTAGAATAAAGACATTATTTTAGATAAAAAATGTAACTTTTGAAGCTCTTTGGGCAAGATCCTGAATGTGAGGCATGTTCCAAAATCTTTAAGAATAAGATTTAAATAGTGAGCTGAACATGGAGACCAATAAATGTTGTCAAACCTTTCTTGCAGTAATTCACTGGCCTTTTTATAATTTGCAGTATTATCTGTTACAAGCTGCACAACATTCAGTGGCCCCACCCATTTTACAACTTCATCAAATAATGAACAAAGTGTCTTCGCGTCCTTCGTAATATCAGAAGCATAAACAGATTTTAGGAAAGCTAAGCCCCTTGGACAATAAACAAGAAAATTAATCAAAGTTCTATTCCTGTTATCTGTCTAACCATCTGCTATGAGTGTGCAACCTATTTCTTTCCAAGATCTTCTATATGAATCTATCAACAACCGACATTATTCTTTGCAATCTCGCAGAAGATTAACTCTCAATTTGTGATATGACGGCAACTTATAACTAGGTCCAGTTGCAGCTATAGCATCAATTGCCTTCTGCGTAAAAAGAGAGTTTATGGCATTGAAGGGGATGCAACTATCGTAAAACCATCTTCCAACTGCTAAATCAGCACGATATATGGCTTCTTTGGAAGCCATTACACTTTTCAATGAGGGTTGAGAACCTGGTTTAGTTCTTGGTGCAAAAAAGTTATCTATTTCATCTTTATTTCTCTTCCCTTTATCAAGTCCTTAATGGTGTGCATTAGAGGTTTGTGACTTTGGAAGTGATGAAGACCCCCTTTCATCATCTATATATTCATCAACAAACAATCTTGTGTTCTGCTCTAACTCCTCCTGGATTTGTTCTTATTTCTATATACCTCTTACTCCTGCTAGATGCTGCTTTATCCTATTAATTCCTCCACCTTTATATATAATCCCACAATGTAGGCATCTATATTGTTTTTTTCCATCTGCACATTTACTTTCACTACAATGACTCCAAGCAATATCGATCTTTTCACGCACACCATGAGAAGAAACTGTTGGTAGATCCATTCTGTATACAATGCTAAGGTTATGTGGAGAATGACAGAAAACACCAATTAGAACATAAACACAATTTTAATAAACATAAATTGTTTAGCTTAAATCTTGTCTAATAGACTTTTAGGGGGAGATTTTAAATCTCATTATTATGATAAATGTCATCTAAGCCACATTATTGATTAAAGCTAGGATTTAAGCCACATTCTTCTCCTCATTTTAAATCTCATTATTATGATAAATGTCATTTATCCACCCCCAAAAATGCATTATGTCGATCACATATATTACTTAACAAATAGCTACAACCACCCCCAAGAATGCAAAACGATTTAAGGAATTCATGTATTACTTTTAGGGGCTGTTTGGCAACAAGTGGGATTTAGTAAATCCTGTAAATTCGGATTTAGTAAATCCGAAATGTGTTAAATCCTGAAAACTGTTTGGTATGCCAAATGTTAAATCCTGTGAAATCCCGAGAAACTATTTGGTAACATATTTCAGGATTTATAGCAGTTAGACATTTAAACGTGAAGAAGATAATTATAACTTAAAAATAAATTTATAATTAAAAATAAAAAATATAATGTGTTATAAATTTAATAATATGTTAAGTACAAATTACCCATTAATTATTATTTATACCATTAATTATATATTTAATAATAGATATATTAAGTTATATTAATTAATCTTCGCTCCTGCGATGACTTCAACCCGGATTGGAAGTTACGGCATTTTGATCGGAAGCAAGAACGGGAGCTCGCTGGCTGTGAAGGTAACTTTCTCCCTTTCGCGCGCTTCTTCGGATAAATCCTTCTCGGATTTACTAAATCCGGCTACCCATCGGATTTACTAAATCCCGGATTTAAGTTGTAAATTTGTAAATCCGGGATTTAATGCGCGCACAAAAACTATTTGGCTGGGTTTAGTGTAAATCCGACTTAAATCCCGTTGTAAATCCGATACCAAACAACCCCTTTCTTTTACATAACCATCGCATATATTACTCATTAGCAAAATCATAAATCAAACATGCAGTGAAATATTGAAATAGTGAAATGTCTCTAAGGCTTAAAAAAGTTGCTCTAAACAGTTGCCAATTCAAACAAAAAACAAAGATTGTCTCCATGAAATGACCCAAAGGCGTGCCAATCCAAAAAAAAAAAAGATTTTGGTGGAAAGGAAACATTGAAACATAAATACATAACTGAAATTTCAATTTCCACCATCAAACAAGAAAACTCATCAAGATTCACAGCCTACCGTCGGCTGCAAATAGGAGCAAGGAGAAGTGCGTGAAAATTAAAAAACTCACGATGGGTAGGAGAGGAGAACTTGACCAAGAGAAGGAAGCCTTCAATGAGTTTGATCGGCTCCGTTGCTCCGGGAAAACAACACCTCTCGTCCGAGAAAACAACTTCGTCGCTCCGCCTGGACGAATCGCGAAAATGAGGAGAAGAATAGGGTTTCACGGTTTGTAAATTTTGTATTTGTTTTGTTACTCTCTTTCTCTAAGCCATTGGATTAAATCGGACGGCTAAAAATGGTTTTATTTGAACCGGCCGGTTTTTTATAACGAGGCCGGTTTTCCGGTTCGGCGGTCGAACCGCCGGTTCGACCGGTTCTGTGCTGAAACGGTTCTTAAGCAGCCCATAACCGGCCGGCCGGCCGGTTCGGGGTTCAACCGGTTGAACCGGCCGGTCCGGTCCGGTTTTCAAAACGTTGGTTTTGCCTTTAGAACCTCAAATTTCTATTAAAAAATTGTGGTATATATATATATTATTATTATTATTTTGCTACGTGTAACAATGTTTATTAAGAAGCTAATTTTGAAAGCTGATGCACTTCTTACTTGAGTATACCTTAGCTGTGTTTGTGATAAATATATATTTGTTACTTTGAAATACTTGATTCTCTAAATTTTTAATGTCTGTATTCTTTAATCAGATATAATAAGACCTTGATGTACAGATATGAATACGACACTAATATGGGACACATCAATTATTGAAAATATAGGATATGAATATGGGTTAGACATAATATTATGATTTGCATATCTTAAAAATAGTTTATAGAAATTCAATAAACAGAATATTAAGGATAATTGAGAAACAATAAATCATTTAATTAGAATTTGTAAAACCTTAATTGCGACCTACTAGATATAAATCCAAAGGGGAAACTTCAAGGAAATGGGATATTGAGTATATGTGATTGATTTGAGTTTCTAGAGAGGAAATCAAAAATTTAGTTTTTTTATTTTTTAATATAAATAATCTTTTTAAATACAAGAAATTACATTTAAAAAAAATTTCATTAATTATTTAAGATGCACACCCCAATTTATTTTTAATATTTTTTTCTACTTGGATATATCTTTGGCATGTCAAAATGATATCAAGATGTGATATTTAGCTTCTAGAAATTTCTGAATTCAAATTCAAATGTATAAAAATTTAAATTAAATCATTACTCTATTCAAAAGTAAAAGTGCTGATATGCATGAAGTGTAGTTTAGTTTATAAACATTTTAAAATTCAAATTCACAATTTTGCCACTTGACAGACAGAATACACCAAGTGGGACACCCGTATTTCTACTTGATATTGCTATTTATATTTCTTGCCTGAACCATACAATCATATTCTCCTTCATCATTTTGTTTTGTGCAAACAACATGATCTCTGAACCCTAAACGTAGAGAATCGCCATCTAAAGGTTCAAAATACAATCCTTGTCTTGTTGATGTAACTTTCTTCATGTTCTTGTTGGCAGATACTTGATAGCTTCGCACACAACTGACTACCAGCAACCAATGCTCTTTCTGAATACACTAGCAGTGATTGTTTTGGTAGTCGCCAAGTTTCCAAACATGCACAAGGTCCGTATCTTTGGGATCAACGCAGATCGTTGATCAGTAGTGGTCGCGATTTTGGATGATAACTGGATCCTCTATACAGAAAAGCCTCTGGCAAAGGGGTTTATAATGTGTTGAGTTTTAGTTTTGTGATTACTTGACTTTGTTGCCTATCAATGTACAGAACGACATGTTGATGCAACTAGGTAATGTCAGACTTTCAAAACTGTTGCTCTTTGTGTAATAAAGGTTTACGTATTAGTAGTGTTCTTGCTCCTTTATTGTTGTTAGGACATATTGGCAAGGCTTCATGTCAGTTGTAGCTTCTCCAGTTCCCAACTGTTGGTCTAATTACTCTCTAGCTCTACCTCACTGTTCATGTCAATAAGCGAAGCACGCAGAAAAATATCTCATATTCAACGGGAAAATATTGATGGTATATTCATATGATGGTACTATCAGAATCTCAGTACTAAGATTGATAAGAAATATAGATCATCTTGATCTGTTGTTTGGGAGCTTTGACTATCAATTAAGAATTATGATTTTGAAGTTTATGTATGTGATCTGTGTGAGTTTGTTTTAATTGATCTAAATTATTACAAAAAAAAAAAAGATAGGATATAGAATAATAAATGGAGAGAGAGAGGTTAAAAGAACATAGAATTAAAATTAAATTATAGCAACTTCTAAAATGCAAACCTCTTTATAGAAAACAAACATAATATGGGATATAGTGCTATGAATAGATAATGAATCCTAGATTAATACAAAAAAAAAAAAAAAAATAAAAAAAAAAAAAAAAAAAAAAAAATTAAGGTGTGATTTTCCTATAATTTTGGGAAGTTATTAAATATGTTTGATTAATTCTAAAAATTACTAAACTTATGGGATGCTCTTATAGGCCATAGAAAGACTGATTCAAATTTCGTAGCATTTAGAATTAATGAGGTCTTTATATGCATTTTCAATTCTTGGGGTGATTAAAATAATCTATTAGTTTCCTAAAGCATCTAAAAATCATATAAAGAAAGAAAAAATTAAAAAAAAGCTAACTAAAAACCCATGAGTTCATAAATCAAAATATATTTTGAAAAAATTAATCTAAAATATTTTCATCATCAAATAATGGCAAAGACCTAATTTTTGAAATTTTTAATAATTTAAGAATTTAGGATAAAATTCCAAGAAGAAATTCTCAAACTTTATGAGTCTTGCATTTAAGTTTCCCATCACATTTATACAATGTTTCATGACCTTAGGAAGTCATTTTAAACCAAATTCTCGTTTGATAAAATCTTAAAGAATCTTGGTTCAAATTTGGGTCAAAATCAATGTTGACCCTACTTTGTATAGATTTTCTTAAGCTTTATATATGGGCCTTAATTCTCTTTAGGACTTCAACAAAGCCTTTTCTTATCGTATGGCCAAATTTTAAGATCAATTCACATATTTTCTTAGTCCAATTAAACAAATTTTCATGCCCACTTGGCCCAAATAAATAGATTATCTCAAATATAGGTCCAAATCTCTAAATTCTTCACATAGGCTTCATTTGGGATGACTTTCTTTCTTAATGCAGCTTTTTATTTTTGGACTAAAAAGACAATTTAAGAAAAAATAAAAAGCCATCCCAAATAAAGCCTTAATCATATTAAGTGAAAACATATCTTACCCTATTATCTTCAAACTAAATATAAATTAAACTTATAGTTATCTTTAAGTGCCTTTTAACTTGAGATTTTCGTAGCCCAATTGGGTAAAATTTAATCAAGTCTTAAGTGAAACCTTGAAGTATTTTTTTGGCCCAATCAAGTAAACACATTCTCACCTTAGTCAAACAATAAGTGAACCTTATAAAAATCATAAAAAAAACACCTATATTTCTTTTTAATGCAATGAAATGTTATTCTATTCCTAGTGTGGAATGTAATCCTTATTATGTATTTGGACAACATGAATGATAAACTTTCATCTCAAAATGGTACATGATCACATAAGTAATAAATAGTGAGTAAAGTATACCATCTCATTGAGACTGCAAATGCTAAATATTAACACTATGATTTCGAATTTAACCAAAACAATCAAATCAAGGTGTAGATTTACATGCTACTAAAAAAATAAGTAACACTTTAAAAAATAGAAACATCTTAGGGATATATAAATCAGATGATCAAGATATAATGGTTACATTTTGTTAGGAATTATTCTATTATTTTGTTAGAAAACAATAAAAAATATAATATGTTTTGGTATAATTAGATCTAAGGTAGATTCCACCATTCTCTAAAAAATTTAGAATTACTAAACTTTATAAACAACCTACCTATCTCTTGATGATAGCCTAAATGCAAACATATTTCATTGTTGTAGTGCGAGTGATCAAATTAGTTACAAGAGTTCAATATAGATATCACTTTTCTATGATCCGTTGTGATATTTCACCCATGATAAGCCTCTTCTTCATCTCTCAATTACAAGCAGGTCTTCGAAACTTCTAATTTGTGGCCAAATAATTACAAGTATTTAATAAAATATGTAACAAAAATAATATATAAAACTCAGATAACTACATTCAATAACTAACTAATAAAATCACATTTGGATACATCTAATCCTTTTTCCCAATGAAAAAGAAAATATTAATGGTTGATATATATTAAATTATCAAAAAGTGATTCATCATGGCTTCTAAATGTCAATGTTGTGATAATGAGGAATCCAATAATCATGTTTTTATTGATGCCCCAATTGCTTCTTGTGTCTGGTTCGTTGTTACTTATGAATTAGGCATTAACTTTATAAATGATATTTCTTATTGCCTAGATATGCTTAATATATGGTTTTCCAATCATCCTAAGGGGCATATTCTTATGATTGTTCCTTTAATCATTTTTTTGGCTTTTATGAAATGACAGGAACAATATCAAGAATCAAGGCATTATTATGAATATTGATAGAATTATTTTTATTCTTCAATTTAAAATTCAATAATTGTTTTCTGTGAATCTCTTAAAGCTCAAACATCTTATGCGCAACGACTCTTGGTCTACTTTCTTTAAAATTATTGTGGGTGCTAATTAAGTCAGTTGTTATCCTTGCATCTTTTATTGGAATAAACTCGAGGTTAATCTTATTAAAATTAATATTGATGGTTCGGTGAACAACGGTGCTACTAGCTGTGGTGGTGTTTTTTGTAATAGAAAAGGTTTATTCATTATGACTTTTGCTTCTCATATTCCAATGCATAATGTTATAATCACTGAGATGCAAGCATTACATCATGCTCTTCTTCTTCGTGTCCAAAATTATTGGAAAATTGCTTATTTCTTTCACTGTTAAGAAATATTATGCTTCCCTTTTCAATTTGCTCAAGAAAATTATCCAATTTTGGGATTTATGTCATTTTAAGATTCTCAAATTTGGAGGGAAGGTAACTTGATTGTTGATTGGTTGGCCAAAGAAAGGTACGACTATTTCTAATTCTATTCAATATTATAACTTAAATAATATTCATGAGATTAAGAGCATGGTGAGATTGGATATTAACGACTTCCCTTTCATCAGAGAAAGATGAGGTTGTTGTGTGTTGTGGGTTTGTTCATTTGTGTCTTATCTATAGTGTTGATTCTCTTCCTATTGGTCTTTGGACTATTTGTTGGTGGTGTCTTAGCGGTCTTCCTCCATTTGTGTCATGGTTGTTGTGTTGGTTCTCTTTATGTTGGTTTATGGGCTACCTGTTTAGTTTGTCTTGTAGTTTTGCTCTAGCTATTATTGTTGGGTTGGCCTTTTTTGTGGGGTTTTTGTGCTATGAGTTCTCTATGAGGTTTATTCTGGGATTTTTTTGTCTTTCTCTTCCGATCGGTTTTTCAATTATGGTTCTTGGTGAATCTTTTATGTGTTTATAGTTTGGTGTGCGTGTTCTGTAGTGTTGGCTTATGGAGCTTTTTGGGTTACCCTATTGTTGCCCTTTGTTTTGTTTTTTTAATGTCTATATGCTTGCCTATTGTTCTGGCTCTGGAGTTGTCAGCTATTAGGGTGGTTTATTTGTTTTTTTTAGGTGGCTTTCTTCTAAGAGTAGTTATGCCCTGTGTTAGTTTATTTTATTTTATTTATCTTTGTTATCATTTCATGATGGTTTTCTTTTTGTTTGAGGTCTTCTTCTTGCAGATCTTGAAATATTCAGGACATGATTATTTCTTGTGGTGTGATTCTATTTCCATGAGTTTCCACTGGTTTTGGTTTGCCTTGGTTATTGTTTTCCATATGGTCAGGTGCTTGATGGTTCTACTTCTTCTTAGGTTTAATTTTTTGCTAGCTTTATATTATATATTTTTTGTAGCTTGGTTCACATATTTGATCCAGACTTGACATATCTTGAGATGTTGATCCTATTGGCTTTTTGGGGTTTGTCTTCCTTGCAACTGACTCTTTTCATTTTTTTATTGTAACTAGTTTGGGATCTTTGACTCCAAAGTTTTTTTTTTTTAAAATTTTCTTTGTGTAGCTCTTTGAGCAAGTAATGTGTTTTAGATCCCTTTTACGGACGTTGTAATTTATATTTCATATTAACACGTAGGCCCTATGTGGGTTTTATGCAAAAAAAAAAAAAGAAAGAGAGAGAAGGAATTTGGAGACTAAGGTCCAGGATATCTCCGTTAGGCCAGTTTAGAAAATAATAGAGCTCCATATACTCCTAAACCCCAATTTCTAATTTTAATTCCAGTAGATTTATTAAAATTTGTGAACAAAATTGTATTTTAATAGTTGATTTTTATTGTATAATTTCTAGTATGTTTTTGTGCTCTTTATTATGGGCATTTTAGTTATATGCAATTGAGTTTTTAATAGTTGATTTTTCATATATGAATTTCCAAGTATATTATCGAATTGAGAGTTTTTGAAGTAATAATAATTAGATAAAAGTGTTGAAATATTCAGGTAAATATCCTTCTAAAAGTAGAAATTGAAAAGAGAAAGTTCAATGAGTAGTTTATTTTACAAGTAATATAGAATTTTATTAATAATTTCTGCATAATCACAATACTACATAAAATGCCAAATTTATTTATTATTGCATTATAGTGCTTTTTTGTAATGCATGGCATTGGAGATGTTATGTTCTGAAAGATGAAAAAGTGCACTCTCAGTTATGTTATAAATAACCCTATATGTACTCTTCTAGTCCCATCAACCTGATGTAGATGTGGAAGGGATTATAGTCACACTTACTGGAAGCAAGTATGGGAGGTTAAATAATATTGTAAGTACTCTTCTTGTCCCTTCTACCTAATGTAGATGTGGGAGGGATTTTAGCCCCATCTATTGTGTGCATGTGTGGAAGGTAAAGGGGAACACAAGAGGAAGTAAATATATAAGCATACATAAAAATATGTGCATTCTAGTCATGACATTTTATATTTTAATGTTTCTAAAAGAAGGTTAGGAAATATTTTGAGTTTTGTTTTAGTGAACTCCAAAATTCTATTTGAATAATGACAAAAAATGAAAA